ATTGCATTCACTCATCAATTGTTTGTTCAATCGATAGCTTTGGCGCCGAAGAAGTGCGGCTTTACGACCGACACATCAATGACACTCATCTGCGGGAATGCCTGCAATCACTACTTAAACGATACGATCAATTGGAGAGCGCCGACAGCGCCAACAATAGGCCGCTATTTGAGTCCATTTACTTGATTTACAATTTAGGCTCAAATGACGCTCTTTTACGGTACGGAACGCTTCCCTTAAGACTTCAAAGGCATGGATTGGTCCGCAAATCGTATCGATTAGCACTCAATTATGACAAACGCCTCTATTATCAGTGCATACAAACGTTGACCGCCATTAAGCCGCCAATTCTGGCTTTATTGGCCTCAACAAAACTGCCAAAACTCTTTCATATGGCCATCAAAACCATGAGTTTTGCATACCATTCGCCAAACACTAAGTTTCCCGTCTCTACAGTTAGCCAATGGTTGTGTCCCTTCGAGAGTAACGCACAAACAGCCGAAGAGTATATCGAAAAATTATGTCAATCGTATGGCTTAGTTGTGGTGAACGGATCCGTTGGATTTAACAAAACCAAATTTGCAGAAACCCCTCAATTGGTAAACCCTTTCAATGAATAATGAAATTGTGTTTTCAAAACTTTTTTCATCGATAGTTCGCAAACCAAAAGTGGAGTTCATTTGAATTCAAACTGAAAGAACTGTCGCTTCCATCACTTCTGAGAGGAAGACACGAATTGTCTTATTGTGAAGAATGACACCAATAGTGTTGTTGTGAAGAATAGTCTCAATAGTAACCAATTGTTCAAAAGTTAGGTCTATATTAATGACATATTGTTTAATTATCCCAAAGATCACTCAATTCAACACATTTTTAACCATTGTTTTCTGTTTTTATAACTGATTTTGTTTTTTCTCATTCTTTTATACATTAAATTCTCATTTTTATACGATTTTTGAAAAGAATTCATATTTTTTTTATTAATTAAAAAGAGTTATGAATTTGTTTACAAAGTGTTTATCAAAAAATATATTTATACGAAAGAAATGTCTTAAAAATAATTAATATTTTGTTTGAAGCGAACAAAGGATTACGAAAATAATGAAATTATAGCGAAAAGGAATTCACAAAACGATTAATAATTCATATCATTTAAGAGACAGAATAATAGTAATAATTATAATAAATATATTTCAAAATATAATATAAATATTAAACCATTCTTTGATAGTCTCTTGAATCAAGTGTTAGACTCAGTATTTGATAAAATGTTAATACCATTACTCGTGAGCACTAATTGTGGTTTCGTTTCGTCAACGGGTGTCGCCGTGTCCTCGACTTTTTGCTTCTTTGGTTGAGTCGGCAGATGACTGGTCT